TTGAAAATAGAATAACTCCGACATTTAGCTTTATTTATTAATAAAACTTGGCATGGATAATTTAAAAGCAATGAGATTCAACCAGTTTATATAAAATTTACAAAAATTCATACAGAGTGTTTAAGAACGTGTGACCAGTATTGTGACGTTGAAGTTGAATTTACTTTACTTTAATATTTCAAACGGTAGACCCTGTATATTATTACATTAATGGATGGTCAATTAAATGTATTTAAAATTATACATAGTTTATAATATAATAAGTAGGGAACTATAGAGTTTCCTATACCCAAAGTTCTTGTGTAAATTGGAAATTATTGATTTCAACACATAAAAACGTTCGGTGGATTTGATGCATTAAAGAATTGAATAATAAACGGTGTCTGATTAATGAACTGTAATTTTTATTATCGTTATACCTTCATCAAAAACAATAATTCAGTATTTTAAATTAAAAAGGGCGATGCTTTAAATAAACCCACCATACACGTAGGAAATCCTGGTGGGAAAATCTTAACTCTTTGCGGATCCGCAATAAAGTTATACATTTCAACATTATTATTATTATTATTATTATTATTATTATTATTATTATTATTATTATTATTATTATTATTATTATTATTATTATTATTATTATTATTATTATTATTATTATTATTATTATTATTATTATTATTATTATTATTATTATTATTATTATTATTATTATTATTATTATTATTATTATTATTATTATTATTATTATTATTATTATTATTATTATTATTATTATTATTATTATTATTATTATTATTATTATTATTATTATTATTATTATTATTATTATTATTATTATTATTATTATTATTATTATTATTATTATTATTATTATTATTATTATTATTATTATTATTATTATTATTATTATTATTATTATTATTATTATTATTATTATTATTATTATTATTATTATTATTATTATTATTATTATTATTATTATTATTATTATTATTATTATTATTATTATTATTATTATTATTATTATTATTATTATTATTATTATTATTATTATTATTATTATTATTATTATTATTATTATTATTATTATTATTATTATTATTATTATTATTATTATTATTATTATTATTATTATTATTATTATTATTATTATTATTATTATTATTATTATTATTATTATTATTATTATTATTATTATTATTATTATTATTATTATTATTATTATTATTATTATTATTATTATTATTATTATTATTATTATTATTATTATTATTATTATTATTATTATTATTATTATTAATAATTATTATTGTTGTTATTAACTTTTATTTTATATAGCTATCTTTAATTAACAATGTTCTTTCTTTTTCGTCTGGCATGTTTCACTGATAATTTTTGAAACAGTTGTTCTGCCCACACGGTAAGCATACGATATAGATGTCATATCTACTAACAAAAATTTTTAATGCATAAGTGAATACTATTTTTCGTCAATGCAAGGGCCAGCCTTTCTCCAGAAGAAATAGATTCTCTTACAATATTCTGTTTTTTAAAGTATTATTTACTTTACTTAGCAAAACATCAAAAATTTCTGGCGACATGCTAAAATAATTAAAATGATTTGAATGATCTCCCAAACGCATGTCTTTAACAAGGTTAAAAAATATTTCTAACCCACATTCGTTTCTTCCTTTTATTTTGGATTCGAGGACATTTTTCATTTTCATATATATTACACCCTAGGACTAAACATAATATATTGATATGCTCCAATTAAGATAATTAGTTTTTAATGTTTGTGTAGTTCTATGTAATATGTAATGTTGAGCGTCAGTGGAAATATTAAAATAATTATAAATTTTGATTATTATTTTTAGAAAATATATTTTTATTACTTACCAGGCTAGCTTTTTATTTGTTATCACTCAATTTGATTTTGAAATATAAATTGTAAATAAAAAACATAATTTTTTTTTTATAAAAAAAATCTGGATTTAAAATGGAATTCTATATTACGTTTGATAATTTTAATGACAATTAAATTACCTATGTCAATTTTGTATAAATAATAGACATCAAATTTAGTAGAACATGAGGTCTTATCTCAGTAGTCGGTTCACAAAATAGGTTTTACTTGTAATTAACTTTGTTAAAAAAATTAAATAATATTGTTATAATCTATTTGCTATGACTCGCCTTAATAGCTCCTACTCAAAAAATTTTTTGAGACTGTCTTAAAACGTGACTTAAGTATGCCCTTTTTCATACTTAATTGCCATATTAACATGGTTGCGAGGAAGGTAAACAAGACGTTTGCCTTTTAAGTGGTCGCTGTACATGATTTTGTGTTAATATGTAATGTCTTACCTTTACAGTCGATTTCAACTTGAACAAGTGAAGTCAAAATAATCAGCATCATTACATATATAGTTCCATTAACCAAATATGTTGTTTGTGGATTCTTTTTACAATCTGAAATACAAATAATTTTAATAAATGTCTATATTTTAAAAAGTAATTTTAATAGCAGATTTAATAAGCATTTTAATATGTCATAAAACTTTCTGTTTTTTTCTAGAGAATAACTTATGCTCTTGAAGTATTTCATTTAACTCACTTATAAAATAAAAATTGTTACTTATGAAAGTCATAAAAATGATATCAATAAAATATGTGATAATAAGTCTAGTTTTTGTTAATTTTTGCTTCAATATATGCTCAAATTGCCTTCTACAGGCTGTTACAAATTCGCTTCTCACTACAGGGATCTCGGAAACGGTAAGAGATACGAAGTAGCTTAAATGGGGGCAAAGTTGCATAATTAGGGGACCAATATTATACCTCTAAAAAATCAGGGGTACCATGATTAGTTTTCGAAATATTTGAAAAAAGCCGAAACTTTGGAAATTTATTTTTTGTTTCATTTCAGTATTATTTGAGGTGATATTGAAAAAAGAAGAACACTTTCCCATGGCAACTTTTTTCCCTCTATCGAATGGCATATCAATTTTTATATGTAACGTTGCGTCTCTCCAGGACCATCATCAACTTCATTTTTTTAAATACGACCCTGGACATTTTATTACATTTTTTTGCAAGCCTTCATGACCCCCAATTCTGTACAGCCTCAGCTCGAACCAGATTCTGATGTTGAAAACGCCCGGTATATGTGAAAGAGATATGCTGGCGAACGGCTGGCGTTTGGCCACCGGTTTTTGTAGAATATTTTTTATTATTTTTTTTAGTAGTAGTAGTTAGTTCGATTCACGCACGCATAGCATTTTGTTGATTATCCCTCTCCAGGAAGAAAGGTCAATTGCATCACATTTTGGTGAGTTACTTTATTTAGTTTTTTTTTCTCTTATTTTAATACAGGGTGTCCCGCATAAGAACCGACACAGGGCAGGTGCATGTAGGGGTGTCCAAAATATTGTAATTTAACCAAACTTACCTATACAGGGTGATACAGTCATAATGTCATTAATTTAATTAATTAACCACGTATTCGGAAGGCTTAATAAAGACAGAAAATCGGAAAATAATTTTTTACTCGACTTTTAAAAATGAAGGAAATCAACCCATAACTCCCGCTACAAGGAAATTTTGTAACGTAATGTCACGAATCAGTTGTCAGCTGAAGCGAACAGCGTTGCCAAGTTCACTTCATAATGTGTGGTTCACATTTACTGTGGGTTCCGCGTTCCGCGTTAAACGTATGCAAGTAAATAAAGGAGCATGCTGTATTTTATTATAAATAATTTTAACAATTGTATTAACTTAGTGCAGAATGTTTTAACAAGCCTGACTTCTCGAAGTCGACTTTCGTTAAAAGAAAATAAATAAAGCAGATGTAGTTACCTGTTTGTAGGCACACCGTATTTTATCAAATAAAAAAGTCGGCACACTACTAAATACTCGAATATACAAAATACACTACACACGGTTACAAAACCATTAACAATTTAAAGCGTTTATTCAAATCTACAACCTTCCACATCTTCCGCATTTTTTCCAACTGCATCTATCATACCATACCGCGCAGCGAAGGTGCAGAACATCGACAAAATGACTTAAATGTGATAGAAGCTGTTTTAAATTTAGTCGAGGAGCAGGCTACTATTTCCACAAGAACAATTTCAAGGCGACTGGAGATATCACAAACTAAAGTTTGGCGGATATTGCGTGAGAATTCACTGAACCCGTACCATTTTCAAAAAGTTCAAGCTTTAAAACCAGCTGATTTCCCCAATCGTCATGAATTTTACAGTTGGTTCCTAAATCGAAGTGCAGCAGACCTTAACTTTATTTTTATTTTTAAAACAAAGTGCGCTGGACGTATGAACGCTGTTTTACTCATGCTGGCATTTTAAAAACATTACTTTCTCAAAAACAATAAGTACCTACCTAGGTTACACCAAAGTTTATATTTACACTAAAGTTTACATTTATTATGTAAACTTTTGTTAGACGCAATTGCATATTGAATAAATTGAAATACTAAAACTGTGTATTATTTAACATAACAAATTATAAAACGTGAAAACGTTAATAATATTAAAAATGATAAATTGTAATAACCGTACATTCGAAAACAATCATCCCTATTCATTACATTAAATTTGATGACACGATTTTCCTTTGATAAAAGATCGACAACTTTTTGCTCTACTTTGCATGGAATACGGTTGTTAATTCTGTTTTTAAACCACTAGTTAACATGAAACTATCACTTTATTCTGTATATTTTTACACGGGAATGAATTATATATCTCAAAATTAATAAACTGTCAATACAACATATGTCATGTTAATGAGTTTTACTATATAGTTCAATTGGGAGATCACACAATGAATATTCAATATATTTAGCTCACCACAGCCAGATAATGCAATAAAATAAAATTAAACGTGTGTGCCGACATACTTCCACCTGAGTAACATTAGGTGAAACTAAATAATGTGACTCACAAAAAATAAAGGCACATGTAACATAAATCTCATTAAGGGAACCTTTTAGGTCTTAATATACGTCCACTTCGACTAAATTTAAGTTTGATAGATTCATCTTTATCACTTCTAAGTACTTTACTTTTCACTCCCGCACATTCTCTGGAGATGTTTTCGGGTACTCTGCTTTTGGTTTTCAGTCCCGCACTAGCACTAGCTTTTTCATATTTTTGATAGGCAGAAATCTCTTGATCTATTACCTCCAGAGGGTATAATCTTTGTATCGGGCGTAAAAGTTGGCCACAAGCGGTTTGAAGACGAACAAGACGAATTTTACCATCTCTACCAGGGATTAATTCGATAACTCGTCCTAAAGGCCAGTCCAATCTCTTCGTTTTATCGTTTCCAACAAGAACTACTTCATTTAAAAAAATAGGTCTCGAAGGTGCTTTATTATTCGCGAGCTTTAGTTGTCCCAAGTATTCACTACGAAAACGTGCACGTAGTGCGTCTCGTAGCTTTTGTCTATATGCGATACGTCGCTTCAAAGAGTCTCTGTCCACGCCATCACAATCAGGAACTCCGCATTCTACTATATCTTGTAAAAACATATTAGGAGTCAAAGGCACCAATTCGGAAGGTTCATCAGATACATATGTAAGAGGTCTGGAGTTCACAATAGTTTCGCAGTCACAAATAATAGTCAATAATTCTTCATATGATAAAGAAGCGCGTTGCAAAACTTTACGTAGCAGTTGCTTAAGGATTCCAATGAGTCTTTCCCAAAATCCTCCCCACCATGGAGCCGCAGGAGGGTTGAAACGCCAGTTAATACGTTGAGCAGCACTAAAATCATTGATGATGTCCCAGTTTAATTTTTCGAAACAATTTTCCACACCGACAAAGTTGGTAGCATTATCGCTATAAATGAGTCTCGGTCTCCCTCGTCTTGCGATAAATCTCCGAAGAACTTGCACAAATTCTGAAGTAGAAAGAGATGTAGTAAGTTCCAGGTGTACAGCACGATACACCGCACATGTGAATAAGCAAATCCAAGCCTTTTCACCCGTCTTCAAATAAAGTGGTCCTGCAAAATCAATGCCCGTCACCTCAAACACCGCGGCGTCTTTCACTCTATCCACAGGTAAAACTGAAGGGTTTTCTTCAAAGTGTTTCGAACTGTACCGTCTGCAAATCGAGCATTTGTTTATTACCGACCGTATGGTTCTTCTTCCTCCGAGTATCCAATATTTTTCTCGCATGAGACTTAAAAGACCTTGTGTTCCGATGTGGAAAGAATTTATATGAGAGTCAGAAATTAACAAATTTACCACATGATTTTTTGAGGGTAGCAATATCGGATAGCAAAAGTCCTTTATATCTTTTCTTTGAGATATTCTTGACTTTAGACGAATCAATCCAAACTGGTCATAAAATGGATTTAAGGTACCGATTCGTTTGTCATTAATATCAGGAAAAGCTTCATCTTGAATTAACTTCAGAATAAATGTCTCAGCCTCTTCAATTTCCTCGGTAGTCAGCAATCCTTGACGTTTATTTCGAGCATTTTTTAAGTTATATCTGAATCGAAAAATCCATGCAATCATTCTGATTGTCTTACTGTATTTAGAAAAATAACCAAGATGCCAATCTGTAGTGTCAGTGTTAACCAACGACGTGACAAGTCTTTTCTTTCGCTCTTGGTTAATCTCTTCTTCGTCACATACCATGGGACAGCTAGGCCACATGTCTGGTTCTAAGTACAACCAATGAGGTCCCTCCCACCATTTTGACTCAACCAATTGTCTAGCAGAACATCCTCTTGATGGGAGATCGGCAGGATTTTGTGTACCTGATACATGTCTCCAAGAATCTACTGAAGTTAACGATCTGATTTCTTGGACTCGGTTCCAAATAAATGTTGACCACTCCTCCGCTCGCCGTATCCATGATATCACAGTGGATGAGTCTGACCAAAAATAACATTCCATGTCTCGTTTAAATTCAGCTCTAACACTATGGAAGAGTCTAGCTCCAATCGTGGCTGCTAACAATTCCAATCGCGGAATTGTTGTTTTCTTTAGAGGAGCTACTCTAGCTTTGGCCGTCAGCAAATTTACATAAACTCGGTCATGTTCTTTTATTCTTAAATAAATTACTGCTGCGTATGCATCTTTGCTCGCGTCACAGAATACATGTAAGCTAAATCTTCTATTATTTCCTAGTCCCCACTTAATACATCTAGGTATTCTGATGGATGTCAACAAATCGAGCTCTTTATTCCACGCACAAAAATCATGTTTAAGTTCTTCATCTACAGGATCGTCCCAACCCAGCTTTTGCTTCCATGTTTTCTGTAATAATAGTTTGGGGTATAAAGATGTAGGACAAGTGAAGCCAATAGGGTCGAAAACCTTCTGTGCCATCGAAAGAATCTGTCTTTTGGTTATCGTTCGATCCCCAGAGCTCGCTTCGATGCAATTTTTAGTGATCGCTAACACATCGTTGTTCGGATACCAAGACAATCCAAGCACAGATATAGGCTCAACTTCCGTTGAGGCATCTTTTCCTTGTGTGTACTCCCACCCTCTGAGATCAAAACTGCCTTCGTTCATAACAGCGATGGACTCACTTATAAAGCGGTTCAATGAAGCTTCGTCTTCCAGGCTCGTAACACAATTGTCGACGTAGAAGCTTTCAGACAATTTATCTATTGTTTCTGGGGAGTAAAATGTACCAGTTCTGCTGAATTTTTTCCTACATAAGGCAAGATGATGTTCAATAGTTGCACCAAGAAGAAATGGACTGCTGCTGATACCAAATACCACACGTTTGTGTCGATAAGTTATTTCTTCGCCATCCGTTCCTATCCACAAAAACCTGACAAAATCTCTGTCCTTTTGACTCAAGCTGATCTGCAGAAAGGCTTTCTTTATGTCAGATATGACTCCAAAACTATACAATCTGAATCTCAACAGTATTGAAGGGATAGATTCTATCAAATTGGGTCCAGTTTCTAAACAACTGTTCAGTGAAGGTTTTCCTTTTTCACATGAAGATGCATCGAACACAGGCCGTATCTTCGTAGTGCTGTTTTCTTTGATTACGGCTCTATGTGGTAAATAGTGAGCAGCTTCGTTTCCTAACTCGTTATTGGGTACCTCTTCTATGATTCCTTCCTGAAGCCATTCTTGGAAAACATGGTCATATGATTCCAATATGTGGTTTCTTTTCAACTTTTTTGTAGTCGAATCTAATCTTTTTCTCGCAACATCGTAATTTCTCGACAACGGGGCATGGCCTTCTAACCATGGAAGTCGTACTTCATATCTGCCCATCTCGTTAATTCTAACTGTTTGCTGAAACATTTCCTTTGCCGCTAAAGCCAATTCCTGTCTGTTTTTCGTCTCAGCCGGATCGGTAATACCTAACACATCCAGTGCCCATAAGTTGGAAATAGGCGCATCTTTGACTAACATGGACATGCTTACTAAATTCGTACTTCTCTCCGCATTAGGAACTTTCCCCATTAAAGTCCAACCCAACAAGGTGTCTACAGCGACTAGTCCGGATTTCAACAAGTGTCTACGGCCAGTATATAATTTTCCAATTACATCGGCTCCGAGTAACACCTCTATAGGTCCCTGACTGCCTACATCGCTCAAATGAATATTTTTCGCCTTCAATTCTTCAATCCACTCACCGAAATGTATTGGCTGGATACTGCTACAAATTTGATTTTGATCCAACATTTCCATGGTGCAATTATAATTGTTATCGCCGATTCTAATTTTATAACAATTATGAGATTGCTCCTCTGTTTTCTGTCCTCCAAACAAAGCATGAGTGATTGTTACTGTTTTAAATGGAACATAACCTAGTTCTTTAGCGGTGTCCTTCAAGATATATGATCGCTGCGATCCCGTATCCATCAACGCTCGAATTTCTTTTGAAGCAGAACCATTGCTTATGGTTACTCTAATTGTTTGCATAAAAACATGCGAGGAAGTTTGGCACGATAGCGCTTGTTCAGTAGATTTTTTCTCTTTTTCCTCTTCTGCTATCAAAGAAGCCTCATTTTTCGCTTTGTTAGCCAGTATTTCTGGACACATCATCGTAACGTGTGATTTGTTGCATACCATGCAGTTCACTCGTGCATGGCATTTTCTTGCCAAGTGTCCCATCTTTAGGCATCTAAAACATGCTCCCCTTTTTGAAAGAATGCTCTTCTTTTCTTCTAAAGAATGTTTTCTGAACTTAAAACAGTTTTCAGTTTCGTGCGAACCTTCACAAAAGGTGCATTTGGTAGTAATATCACAATTAACAAGTCCAGCGGCAGTTGCTGTCCGCTCATCTGTACATTTGTTCCCGAATTTCTGTTTAACTTTCTCTGACCGAAATAGTTTTTTGTCTGAAGAAATCGTGTTGAGTCCGAAACTTTCAGTAGCCAGCAAAATTCGCTGTTCGTTTTCTACTTCAACTCCTAAAAAATTCATCAGCCCATCTAAACGACTTTCAGAAGGTGATTCTTCATCGGAAATCTCTGTTTTCTGTTTTAGACTGCTCACGTATTGAGCCGAACGTTGCCAAGCTCTTAAAAGATTTTCAGGTAAGCATGACTCGATCAAGGGAAATAACATCGAAGCACAATTATTTTTTGTTATTCCTAGAGTTTCAAGAGCTCGTAAGTGACTTTCAATCTTATCATGGAGAGTGGAAATATCCATCTTGTCTTGGGCCATGGCATTACTCAAAATGAGCTTTAAAAGTTCCCTCACATACACCTCAATAAGAATGTCATCGCGACCAAATCTAGCCTTTAGACTATCAATGATTTTTGAATAGTTTTCTTGCATAGCAGGATAGCTTTCCACAAGTTGTCGAGCTTTGCTGCCGGGTACTGTAGCCTGTATTAAGTAAACGATTTTATCATGTGAATCAATGTCAGGGTCATCATGGATTTTTTTAAACTGGGCCCAAAAACCTAGCCACTCTCGAACATCTCCACCGAATTTCCTGAATTCTATTGTAGGTAACTTAAACTGACGCTTACCTAATCGTTCTTGACTACTATGCTGGCTTACTCGAGAATTGGCACTATGCTCGCTGTGTATGTCGTTGTCTAAGCTAGATTCCTCAACCTTGAGCCTAAGATTTGTGTACTTCTTCAAATAAGTATCTCGAATCTCCATCTCCTCAGCTAGCTCCTTTTCGTCGGCATCTGTTTCTAAACGCAGCTCGTACACCTTTTCATCCACATTTTGCAGATCCGAATATTTTTGTTGCACTACTTCCCAGGTCAGCTTAATGGAACGAGCCGACTTATCCGCAGCAGACAATAAGACTTCCAGTTCGTTAGCATTTTTCGTAAAAACTGCTGTCCGTACTTTACGATCCTTTTTGTGGATTTCCATTTCGATTCCCGTGCCACACTACCAATATACGTTTTCCTTCTATTTGAGTCCTGTCACGGTCGCCACTATGTTAATTCTGTTTTTAAACCACTAGTTAACATGAAACTATCACTTTATTCTGTATATTTTTACACGGGAATGAATTATATATCTCAAAATTAATAAACTGTCAATACAACATATGTCATGTTAATGAGTTTTACTATCTAGTTCAATTGGGAGATCACACAATGAATATTCAATATATTTGGCTCACCACAGCCAGATAATGCAATAAAATAAAATTAAACGTGTGTGCCGACAACGGTCCTACTACAGTTCGTATAAGTCTAGGAGCCAGATAGGGTTTCGTTTACTAGCTATAAAAATAAACTTTTTACAGCCATTTAAATATTTAATTTTTTGATAACAATTAAACTGACCACTTTCAGGCTTTGCAACCAAGTTTTTTAGATTCAGGAGGTCAAAATATTTATGAATAAGTTGTTTGCAACCGTACTCTTATTTGCAACGGAATCTGGCTCCTAGACTATAGTGCACGTGCAAATTAGAAGGTTAGTGACCTAGACACAGGTTAGCCTAGGTCGAAAACACGTACCGAGTTGTTTATTTGTCTCCGTCCGATTGTTTTTTATCTTATATTACTTACAGTCAATATTTAAATACTACATACATTTCACCCTCTCTATAATTTATCTAGTGAGTGTTGGTATTTTATGTCATTATTTCTGTAATGAAATTGAAATGGTTATGAAATGAAATTTAAATTATTTGAACTCTTGGAGTATTGTAACTTCAATATTAAACGTTATTTAAAGTGAAACAGAGCTTAATTTCTTTGCAGCCACAATGGTCACATTTGGTCAGATGACAACTCGCACACTACTCGTCGGTTTAGCTTTCAGAGGTGATTGGGTGTCAATGTATGGGCAGGAGTATATGCAATCGTCTAATTGGGCCGCATTTTCTACCTGAACATCTGAATGGGCCGCGTTACTTTCAATTTTTAGTAGAATTGTTTGAAAACCTTCTCCTTCAGATGCTACGGGATATGTGGTTTATGCACGATGGAGCTCCGGCCCATTTTGCTCGCGATGTCCGTGGATTTTTAGACGATCAATGTCCCAATCGGTGGATAGGGAGATGAGGGCCCATAATCCTATGGACTTTTGTATATAAGATTATATTAAATCTGTCGTGTATCACACCGATGTAGAGAATGTAGAGCAGTTGCGGAATCGTATCGAAGATGCCACTGAAGAAATACGTAACAGCCATGGTTTATTCCATCGTATCCGTCGCTCATCTATCCAACGTGTACACTTGTGCATAGACGGTAACGGTAATGTATTTGAACATTTGCTTACAGCAAATTAAAAAAATTAACGTTATGATATTAATAAAAACTGATTTTTGGCAAGGCATGCTCAGACCTCCTCGAGGTTCTTGCTGGGCAAACAATAACAATTTAATATGTTGATTGCATAATTATAAAAAATAATTTATAGCATTTTAAATTATTATTGGCTGACGTGAGCAAACCGTTTATTTATTGTCTTTATATGAGCGAAAATATATAAATATGGCAACGTTGCATCTAGGACGAGTTGTTCATATCGTAGCCGTGCGCAAATTGTGATTAACCGACTGACGTCAGCCGGTCAGTAACAGCCTGAAAAGGGGGTTAATGATTTGAAAATATTTTTTTTCTGCTTAAATATGCATTTAATTTTTTATTAATCACACCGTCGTATTATACTAATTTTTCTATATCTGCTCTTAAAATTAATGACATTATGACTGAATCACCCTGTATACGAAGTTGCACCCCAAAGTGGAGCCCTAAATTTCGAAAAATATTAATATCTCAGCAACACTTTATCGTAGAAGAATTAAATTTGGTACATGATTTAGGTTTATTACTGGTCTTCTTTGACTATGATTTAGAGTTAATTGAAGTACTACAAGGTGTTTATTGGAGATGGCACTCCTAAAATTGTACCGAACTTCTTTCTCATTGACCGAATTGAAAAATAGTAATTTTAATTCACAGCAGAATTTAATTTTAGATTTTTTTACTCTTGTTAAATTTTAAAAAAAATTCATGGTTTTCAAGAAAAACCGTATTAACTGACACACGATTTTAACAGTGTTCATTAGAAAATAATAATCAAAAAGTCAGTAGTAGCTTTATCTTTCAAATTTGACAACTGGCCAAATAAATTTTATTTCACTTCTCTCCTAATTCTACACAAAGAAAACAAGTAGCTAGGTAGTTTTTAAATAAGCGAATATTGTATTAAGTAAAAAGCACAAATAAATAATAAAAATAATAATAATATTTTTTCAACAACAATCAGAGGCAGTTGTTGAAATAAAATAATTTTATTATTAACTGACAAGTTTGAAAGATAAATTCATTGCCTTCATAACTCGTAAACCATTCACTTTTCGACAAAAATAAAAGAATGTTTTTCCATCCGGATTTTAGATCGTTATAAAATGCATTCATATTACCAATTAATTCAGTGGCGTAGAAGTTTTACTGTGAATAGGGAAACGATATCCTTGTTTCTCCGCCACTGGTTTTTGAATTTGGACTGTATGCATACAGAACTAGAATTATTAAAAAAAAATTGTACCAAATTTGGATAAATTTGATAAAGTGGTTTTCCAGATATTTAAAAAATTGTTTTATTTTTGTTAATTTCAACGCTCTGTATCTCATAAACGGTGGCTTTTTGCCACATGTTCATAGAGCAAAGTGATGTGTTAATTTTTGTTGTTTAGTACTTTCCCGAAGATTGTCTATTAAAATCTGGACCACCTTGTACAGGGTAGCAAAGTACTCTATAAAAATTTCACAGCCATCCTCGCAAGAAATTATGCGATATCCGTTGACTGCACGAAAAACAGTAAATACCTCCAAAACCAGAAGAGATAGGTAAAGGGAGCCATTATACCATTCGAAAGAGAACAAAATTGTTCATCAGGAAACGCAAACATATATAGGGTGTTCCATTTAAAAAAAAATAAGTTAAAATGGTTTAAAGTTAACTAAATTCGGCATTAAATTTCTACCACCCTGTATGAAATTAAGTCATTTTGAAATTATGGTAGGGAAGCTTAGAGTTTTAATTATGTCCTCTATAAATTTTATCGCTCTAACTTTATTATTGTAAAATACAAATCTTTTTGAATTAGGCTGTACTTCTTTAAATTTTTTTGAAAAAATTATATATATCAAAAACGGTTAACTTTAAGAATAGAAAACCTCTATGAAAGTTCTCATAAAAATTGACGTACAGTCCAAAACTGCAATAATATACATGGTGTTCCATTTAAAATAAGGAAGATGATGTCAACTTCCGGTATAACTGGAAGAGCATGCCCGAAAACACTGTTGCCCAAATTTTCAAAATTAAAATCAAAGTAGTTTCTGAAATATGTCTAATGTCTCGTCACGGTGGGACACCCTGTATACAGTACCTATTTATATTTAATTGGTTGAGTCTGTTTGATATAAATAAAGGCCCTGAGCTATTAACTCCGGTTACCCATTTTTGGACACCCTGTAAAATACGTGTAGGTATATAATATACAGGTGTCCGCAAATTTCACCGACAACGTTTGACTGTCTATTCACGATGATAAATATATACGATCTATGAGAAAAAAGTAAAATAAAAACTTTATGGTTTCTGAGTTACAGACCTTCAAAGTTGTCAAAAATAATACTATGCCCGTTTGCACCGTAGTGTTTAATCCAGGATTAAGTCTGAACTTAGATTAAAATATAATTTAATTAATAACTTCATAACCCTTTTACCGATCGCGTTAAAATTTGGCACATTTATTAGGACTATTATGGCTTATTATTTCATAAAGATTTAGTCAAATCGATATACCGGGTGATAGCTTTCTCCCTTTTAACGGTCAAAACTTTTACAGTGGCCGTATTTTTTTTTTACTGGCAGCAACACTGAAAAAGTCGTTTTATTTAAAACAAATATTGCCCCTTGAGATAATCGCCTACAGAAAGCCATTCTTGAGAACAATAGCATTATTTACAGGTCTGTGCGTTTCGGTTTGCGTAGCAGTGTCACGGATTTAAAATTTTAAGTTCAGTAGGCGATGAAAACAAGATGTTGATTGTTGTGGCTAACAGGTAATGTCATTATTGTCGTGTTTCTTTAGGATTCTCATCACTCTACACATGCAAATTATGAAGTGCCCGCAGTGTATCAAGACAATTAAATGTATTTAAAACTAATGTTCACAAAACTTGAAAAATACAACTTTTTCGTACATTTCATTTAACTCCTGCTCAAGAACTTTAGATCCCAATGCACGTTTACAATTTTGCCACTGGTTGGCGAGTGGGTTCGCAGAAGATAATAATTTTCTTCAAATACCGAAAAATCTTGTTTTACAAGAAACAGAGTTGTAATTGTTCATAATTTGTATCTGTGGTGTCATGAGAATCCTAAAGAAACATTACCTGACAGCCACAGCAATCAACATCTTGTTTTCATCGCCTACTGAACTGATGTTTTAAATCCATGACATTGCTACGCAAACCGAAACATACAGCCCTGCAAATAACGCCATTTTTCTCAAGAATGGCTTTGTGTAGGCGATTTTCTCAAGAGACAATATTTTTTTTAAATAAAACGACCTTTTCAATGTTGCTGCTCGTTTCAAAAAAATAAGACCACTGTAAAACTTTTGACCTCTAAAAGGGAGATGTAACAGGAGAAAACTATCACCCAGTACATTGATTTGACTAAAGCTTTAAGAAATCATACGCATAATAGNCATTTTGACCCCGGATTCTTGAAGAGCAGAAAATTTTACGTCCGAATATGTATTGACTTTTTTTTTAGAACAGACCTTTGTAGGTCACGTGATGGTCATCCAAAATCAAATCCATTTTCCAGCTTTTGGCTGTAAATTGAGATCTTGGGTCTTTGATGAGTTGATATTTTTCGGGTCGTTGA